TTGTCGAGTGAGGAGTGATGAAGCGCCCATGTGATGCAGTGACACGGGGAGGGACAGGGACCTGAGCTGATGACGTAAGGCGACCACATGGCTTCCGTTGCTCTGAGACACTCAAAAGGTTGTTTATCAACGAGACGATAAAGACGATGATGAAAGACCGTTTGCAGTTGCGCCTTTGGACTGAACATGGCTTCATGGCTGTAGAGTTTGCTGCAGCTGGTATTCATTGAAGCTTCTGGAACGAGAGCTGAAGGGCTAAAGTGCCTGCAAGCCAAGGCCGTGTCAGCACGGAGAGGAACTTGTATTGTATCAAGTCACCTTTCATTGGCATCTAGACAATATGATACATGCGTTTCCAATATATGATTCCATATATACTATCTTGAGAGCGGTTCCAGATGCTTTCCATCAACGAACGATTCCTGCAGCGAACCTCGGCATTTCTCCTAGATCATGTCAAAGGTCGGCGGCGAGGGCCCCAGTTAGGAAGGGAAGCGTTAGCTTTCAGGGAACCCTGGGGGTTTGTTAAAGGGGTCTGTGCGTCATGGCCCCCTGAAAGGGACGAGAAAAAAAGAGGAGACACTGGCTTTTGGCGTTCGGAAAGCTTGCGCCCATGGAGTTTGCGAAGCTTTCGCATGAGCTCGTGTCAGCTCCTCATGCAACCTTTTTTCTTCTTCATCTTGACATCCATACCACCTCCTCTGATTTGCAACTTACTTCTTTTACCTTTCTTACTCCCTGAGATTGTTATTTGTTTGCCGTCTCCCTCTTGAGGATTGTCCTTTCCATGTGTCACCTGTAATCTCATCAGACACAAAGAACCAACAGCTAGCTCATCAAAACACCACACCTCATCATGGCGCCCCCGTCCAGCTTCGCCGACTATCCCAAGCCCGTCGAGGGCCCTGATGTGAAATACCATCGCAGAGTCGATAATAATCCCGTATTTCGGGGTCTTCCCCTCGCAATTGGCGCTGGCATGTGAGATTTCAACCATTCCATGGATATCCGTCTTTCAATCCCGCTGATCTTCTACCCAGCATCTCGAGAGTCGGATTCCTCCAGCAGCACTTTTGGGATAATGCTAGATTCGGAACCATCAAGGACATTCCTGATCTTGATGAGATCCCTTTTAGGTTTCATGTATACCTTACTCTTCTATGTCTTAAAGAGAAGACCTCAAGACTGACTCCCTCAGCCCACCGTCACTCCCTTGGGAGATACCAAGCCCATGCTCGAGTTTGAACCAGACCTTCTCAAGGCCAAGTACACCGACTCGCCAGCCCGCTACTACACCGTCGCAGAGTATCACGAAATGTTCAAGTCCGGCCAGGTGACGCCCCTCCAGGTTGCCGAGGCCCTTCTGCCCCTCATCACCAAGCCATCCGGCAAGTATTCCGATGCCTGGGTCGAGTCTCCCGGCAAGGACCATCTCGTTCTCGAGGCCGCACAGGCTTCAACTGAGAGGTATGCTGCTGGCAAGCCGCTGAGCATTCTCGATGGTGTGCCTATCGGTGTCAAAGATGACACTGCTGCCAAGGGATACTCCAGCAACAACGGCATGAAGCATCGCCCAGATCTTCCCTACTTTAGGGAGAAGGAAGAATCTATCTGGCCTGTCAAGAAGCTTCAAGAGGCTGGTGCCGTGGTCATTGGCAAGAATTGCATGCATGAGCTTGGCTCAGGTGAGTTTATCCCACTCTTTATTTCTACATTTCATGATAGCTAACGGCCTGCCAGACACCAACGGATGCAATGTAAGCTTTTTACGTCTTACATCAGATACCAAAGCTGACACACGCAGGTCGCCCAAGGAACTCCAACCAACTGGCACAACAAGTCCTACTACCCCGGTGGTTCTTCTTCCGGTGCTGGCTCTTCCATCTCCCTCGGCATCGTCCCAATTGCCGTTGGTACTGATGCTGGAGGCAGCATCCGTGTCCCGGCCGCCTTTAACGGAGTATACGGCCTCAAGCCCTCCCATCAGCGCACAGTCTACATGAACAACACCATGTGTGTCACTGGCCCCCTCGCCGCCACTGTCTCGGATCTCACCATTGCCTACCGCGTCATGTCCCAACCCAACCCGGACTGCGCCACTCAGGGCCGCTTCGGCCTGTCTATCCCACCGGCTCCGGGATCTAACAAGGTCATGGGCATCTGCCGTGACTGGTGGGGTCAGGCAGACCAGCGTGTCAAGGATGTCTGCGAGCGAGCTGTCGATTACTTTGCCAACAAGTGCGGCTACGAGATCGTCGACATTTCCATCCCCTATCTTCCCGAGGCCCAGCTCGCACACAGCGCCATCTGCATCGCAGAGATGGCCGCTGACGCCCGCCGCCGTGCTGTTGATCCGGCTGATTGGCTTACCCTGGTTGGGCCCGTCAACAAGGTCCTCATGTCCATCGGAGCCAAGACACCCGCGGGCGACCTGCTCAAGCTCAACGCTCTCCGTGAGCTCATCATGAGACACCTGGCTTTCCTCTTCCAGAAGCACCCAGGCCTGCTCATCATGACTCCCGTGTCGCCCATGAATGGATGGCCCATTACTCCCGGAGATGACAAGTACGGCATGATTGATGGTGACAAGACCATTCACAGCATGAGCTACATCTTCCTGGCCAACATGACGGGCACACCTTCTCTGTCGGCACCAGTGGGATACCTTGATCCTGATCAAGGCGAGGGCAAGGTGCCGGTTGGTCTGCTGGCGACAGGAGAATGGGGCAGCGAGGAGCAGTTGCTGGCTTGGGCCGCAGTGGCTGAAGATTATTTGCATAATGCAACTGAGACGAGTCGCCGTCGCCCAAGCGAGTGGGTAGATGTCTTGAACCTGAACAAGGCAGATGCTTAGAGTACATCTGATCGTGTCAGGATTTCACGTGTTATTAGCGGTGCAAGCGATAATGTTAAAATATTTCATTTCATTTCCATGCAGATATTTGCGTCGTGTCGTCATCTCGTACATTGTGTCAGCTCTGGACTCTTACGCAGTGGCTCTGCCTGTCTGAAGCGTCCGCTCATTTGTTCATAAACTTGGAGGCCATTCCCAGGAGGCCACCCTGCTGCTCACCCTGGTTCTTCAGGTACATCTTGAGAGCGACTTCACCGGCCTGCTGGACGACACTCTCCTTGCTGGCGTCAGATGTGACCTTGCCCTTGGCGGCCTTGTCATCAAAGAGCTGGGGTTCAAGGGTTAGCAATGGGGTTCATCAGGGTAAATGGTAACCAACCTTGCTGGCCTCGGCCATGGCAAGGCCAAGGAAAGCACTCTGGCTGCTGCTGCTGCTCTTAGTCTCGCCCTTGTTGAACAGCTTCAAGGCCTGCATGGCAGCTGCAGTGCCCATGCTCTTGTCGTCCTCCTCGTCCTCGGAATCCTCATACGTCTTCTTGTGCTTCTTGATAGCGTCTAGCAATGAACTATTAGCCATGAACCTGTGCAGGGAACAAGGGGCAATGCTCACCCTCTTCATCGAGGTCTTCGTTGGCGAGCTTGTTCTGCTTCTGCCCGAGAGAGCCTAGGATGTTGGAGAACAGGTCCTTGTCGCCCGAGGAGCCGGCGTTCTTGTTAGCTTCCTCCTTGGCGTGATCGAAGTCGAGGTTGCCAAAGAAGCTGGAGATGCCGCTGCCACCGCCGTGTGACTCTGTTCCTGCGTGTTAGATGGGTTTGTTTGATGTTTTGGTTCATGGGCTGGACTGACGGACGCCACCGGGAGGAGGGTACTGCTGTTGCTGGCCATACTGCTCCTGGCCATACTGCTGCTGTTGTCCGTACTGTTGTCCGCCGCCGTACTGTTGCTGCTGGGACTGCTCTAAATGGGAGATCGGTTATTAGAATCTCTCGTATTATATCGAGGTTGATATGAGGATGGAAAATAGCCATGTCGTCATGATCTTCATGATGGCTCCGTTCAGCTCGGCTCTTAGTCGAGTGGAATGAGGGGCATCATGGAAGGGACCATGGCGGGGTAAAAGCCATGAGAGAGAGGTAGACGCACCCTGACGCTTGTCCTTGTCGTCATCGAGAAAGTCCTTGGCGGCGCTGACGAGCTTGTCCATGATTTCGACTTGATTTGCTTGGATTTCCTTTGATGATGGGTTTGTATGTGCTTCAGAACGAGATTGATAAAGTCGATGATGGAGGGGAAATGGAGAGATGGAAGAGGGGCGCTTGAAATATGGCACCCTCCGCGTCTCAGGTACATACGCACATGCCTTACACATAGCGTCTGTCCACCAACAGTCGATGGCCATTCAGTCACTGGAGCTCTCCCTGCCCATTCGCTCCCTCACTGGCGACGCGCAGCCTCTCCCCATCCTTCTGTGCTCCCCTGTGGACGGGTATGCCGTGACGTGGATCAAGACCTGTGGAGAGCTGCCTTAATGGAGAGCTTGGAGAGCTGCCATGACCTCACTGTCCAATCACCGAGGAGATGGTGCCAGCGTCGTTTGCTAGGTAGCTGGAGCTTGTTTTCGGCTGGCCTTGCCCCAACTACTGCACCATTGCTCCGCTGCTCTGCTGGAGCTGTAACCGAGGCCAACAAGGCCCAGTCAAGTAGAGGGCCTCCCACCACCAGCAGTGCAACCTCTGTGATACACATATCACCTTCAGACAACAACACAAAATCAGTGTTAATTGTCTAACTGGTTTAAACCATCCCAACTCGCCCTCATCAACATGTGCCGCATTGTTTGCGTCGGCACCTTTGGAGCTTGCGCCGTGTCTGCCAGATGCCCCATACACCCCCAAATGACCTTGTTACAGGCCAAAACAATCAGGATAATCATCAAGGTCCGTATATCAGATAAAAAGAACATAACAACCGGCCGTGAGCGTCTCGTGTATCCCGCTTTCGCCTTGTAAATGCAAATAGAAAAGTCATGCCAACTCCTTCTCGTCAGAGACGCTGTGTCATCTCTGCCGACTCCAGCCTCCCACGGCCACCTTTTGCCAAACGCTCAAATCGTACTTGTATACTCGTACATCGTCAAGAGCTTTCGCCGTCGTCTCAAGCCATCGAGTGATCTATCGCCGGCCCTGGTGCGTGGTGGTGGTTAACACTGCTGTTCCTCTTCTTCTCCTTCTTGGCCCATCGCAAACCACAGGCGTTGCACAGAGTCTTTGGGCCGCTCGGTCCCTTTCTCCACTCTGGTGAATCCAGGGTTCCTGTTACCATTCAGTCAGTATCTGTAGGGGCCTCGTTTCAAGAAAACAAACAACTTACCGCAGTCCGTGCACACATATTCCTCCGAAGTTTTGAGCTTCTTCTTCTTGTCGCCTGTGCGTGGGTCTCGTTCCAAGGGAATTGCAATGCCTGCATCGCCCTTGATCAGGGTCGGGCTGGCGTTGCCAGTTGTGATTCCTCGGCTCCGTTCACCCTCGATGTACCGTAAGCCCGTCAGCATCTCGATCGTCTCGGTATGCGATGCCCCTTCGTATCGCGCCATCTTGTCATTGAGCGAGTCTGGTCGGCTCCCGGCTGCGCCCTCGAGGTTTTCTCGTGTTAGAGACTTGTTCAGCGCGGCCCGGTCCGCATCTGTGAGACCTCGATCGGTGCTTGGGCGGAAGAAGTTGGATGACACCCCAGTTCCTTCCGAAGGCGTCACATCTGAGCGACCTTCCTGGCTCTGCATCCACTGCTTCTGCGCTTCGTCATTTTCGGCTTCTTCCTCGCGACGAAGTTCGGCAATGCGACGCTTTAGTCGCTCGTTTTCGATCTTGTGCTCGAGGAACGAGTCGAGAAGTCCGGCATTCTTTGTGGGATACGGGCGAGCCATCATAAAGACAGCTTGGCAGAAGGGCGACTGGTTGTTGGGGTTGGGCGCAAACTTGGAGCCCGCAATATGAGCATGGCCTACTGTCTCAAAAATGGCAAACTTTCCATCCTTCTTCTTGAAACGGTAGAACAGGCGCAGCGGGTTTCCAGATGCAATCGACTCATTGAGTTCGGCCACAAAGACGCCCCGGTCATCTGGGTGGATTAGGTCCTTGAGGAAGATGTCCTGGATCTCCTCCACACTGTACCCTGTCACATTGAGAATACTGGGTGACGCGTATTTGATGCGACCGTTGGCATCGAGGATTTGCAAAAAGTCTCTGAGCTCCTCCACGACCTTGGCAGGCCAATTTCTCCGCTTGGTGAACTCGGTCAGAGTGCTGGCGGCGCTTGTAAGGTTCATCTGGGCAAAGGGACCTGCAGGGAGTGGCCCCGCGCCAGGAACGTTGTTCGCAGCTGTATTGAATTGATTTTCGGCTCTCGCGACAGATTCTTCGGTCGATGTCTGCGCATTTGAGCCACCGAATGAGCCAGTCATGCTGGATTCGTCGACCGCGTCGAGGCCCATGGAGACGTCGCCCATGGAGCCGAGCATGTTGTTGTCGAGCAGGGCCATGATGTCGGTGCTGTCCTGGCCATCTGCGCCCATCTGCAGAATCAAGTTAGCCGTAAGAGTCGCAAGCCAAAATAGCGTTGGCTCTGGCAGAGGGGGCCTAGAGTGGCCACAGCCTCGACCTCGGCTTCGCAGGGGAGTGGTGAACAACCTGACCACCCGTCATGTCCGGGAGAGAACCGATGTCGAGATTGAAGCCAAAGAAGTTGAAGGTATTTTGAGGGGGGACGCCGAGAGGTGGAGGGGGAGGTGGAGGTGGTCCGTGGGACATGGTTGCGCCGTGCTCGTGTGGCGATCGAGCACCCATTTCCGTAAATTGCATTGGCGAAGCCCCAGTAAGGGTAGTCTCAGCGGCCTCGGGGGCGTCTGTGGCCGCTGCGCTGCAGCACGCACTGGGGTCAGCGGCAGTGAGATAGCGACAACGGGGAGTCGGAGTCTAGTTTGTGATGACACAGCAATGACGCGAAGAGCATGGGTGGAAGGGATGGAAGGATAGATGGAAGCTTGAGAGAAGAATACTATCCATCTAAAAACTGAGATCGCTATCACGACTTCTAGTCTTGGACGATATTGAGGGAAAGATTGGGAATGAAGGACGAGAGACCACCAGACTGAGAATGAAGTGGAACGAAATGAGATGGCCAGTTTCTGTTTTCCCTGCTCAGGCAGAAAGGATAAATTGCATCAAACCAGTACCACAGCTGGGAGAAGACAAAGTAAGCCCGAGAAGATGCCTGAGCGAGATTGGAGAGCTGAGCATAGATGCAGAGTAAGGGGAGAGATAGATGGAATACGAGGGAGGAGGGGTTATGAAATGAAAGTCAGAACGTCGCACGGGGCCCGGATAATCATGGATAGATTGGCAGGTAGAAGGACGAGTAGGCAGACAGGGAAGAGGTATGTACGAATGATGAGGTGAAGAGGGAAATCGTCTCTAGAAACAATCTGGGGGAATACCAAGGTAGGTAGACAGGTAGCGTCCCAGAGGCAACGACAAAGGCCCGCTTTCCGAGTCAAGCAGAAGGTCCGGTAGCAAGACCCAAGAAGTCAGTGAGCAGACCTTTATTTCCCTTGTTGACTGGCTCCCTATAGGCCTGATGACAAGCAGAGTTGTTGTGGGCTCGGTCAAACATGGCACTTTTGGAGAATTCCCGTCTTCGACACATGGGAAACTGGTATTAAACGTCATGCCCAGATGCTGCGCAATCATAGCACCACACCTTCTTGAGCCAGGCTGGAGCCCAAGTTGGCCGGTGCTTTGCTTGGCTGGGCAATTCTCGCTGGCCTTTTCCAATGCCTTTACGGCTCAATCCACATGCTGGCCAATGCTGCTCTCCAACTCCGGAGGAAATGCCCCGGGAAAAGCGGGCGTCTGGTCCTAGTGACGACGTCTCGTTGATCTGACTGGCCTAGACAGTAACAGCTTAGCCTTTGTCTGCATCCTTGCACGCCCTTAGTGGGTTCCATCGTAAGGGTCCAGCGGGCAGTAGCGCGGCCCGCTCCCACACTATCCAGGGAGCTTACCTCAGTTTGTGCGACGTCTCATTCGAGGCTCAAATGCCCTGAGGCGTGAAGGGTCGATTTTGCCCTTCCGTCAGGATGGACGCGCAGCTTAACTTTCAGGGGGATCACCGCGGGGCCGTCTTAGGGGATCCATTTGCGCGGTTCCAGATCGTGGCATCGTTGAGAACTGAGGTCATCGAGAGAGCGGTCTGATGAGGCCAGAAAACCTAGATTGGTCTCACGAGACCATCTGAGGGAAACATGTCTTGAAAATTGCTTCTTTCTTGGAATCCTACACCGGCTGCAAGGCCCCTGTAGCTCTCTGTTAGTACGATAAGACGCTGCTTAGAGGGAAAATGGACATCCATCTGGATCTGCGTGGTGCAAGGGTTCAACCTCGTTTTTGGACCCTTCCAACTTTCAAGCCACGACCATCCCCCCTCTGTCAAAAACGGCCCGCTCAGTGCCGCCGTCGCCCCTCAGGGTCCTGGGGCTCTCTGAACTGGTTTCTGACGTCAATCCGACGTAATTGTCAAGCCGGCTGTCCGGGAGGCGTTCAAGAAACCAACAAGTTGCCATGATGGAGAATTGAAACAATGGCTGGATCGATGACCTCAACTGATGCCAAGCAGGAATCCTCAAGCCCTCGCATCTTTGGCCTTGCTGCAAAGAGGCAATGCTCCGGGATTCCCTGGCTTGTATGGATCCTTGAATAATCCGATTAGTGAACGAGAATTCGCTCAAGCTACGCTTGGATGGGAGAAACACTTGCCCGTGTAAGCCCGCTGGAACTACGGTTAAAAGCGAGACACGTGACCTCGCATCGGCACTCGACGCGTTGGGTGCAACCTGTCGCGTCACCCATGCAATTCGACTTCAGCTGCCTAATCCACACTTGGATGTGCAGCACCCTTTCAAAGAATCAACTCCTTTGGACCTAGTAGATACTCTCGGCCCTCATTGCGAACTTCGCCTTTGCCCGACCCTCGATGCGGTAGCCGCCCAGCATGTCGAAGATCGACAAGCTCTCCATCTCGGGCGTCCGCTCCTTCAGCCCTTCCGTCCGAGAGGCCATCCAGTTCAACACCCCACTGACACTGATCGTGGGATATAACGGCTCCGGCAAGACTACCATTATCGAATGTCTCAAGTATGCTACCACCGGTGAGCTGCCGCCCAACAGCAAGGGCGGTGCTTTCATCCATGATCCCAAGGTGCGATGCCACACTCCTAATGCTAGTTATTCATCCCATTAACAGCTCCTAGCTATGTGGTGAGAAAGAGGTCATGGCCCAGGTGAAGCTGCAGTTCCGATCGATCAACGACCGTCAACATGTCGCAACCCGAAGTATACAACTCACTGTCAAGAAAACCACCCGCTCCCAGAAGACCCTTGACTGTTCCCTCGTTGTGGTCAACAATGGGGAACGTACGACTACATCGACCCGTACGGCTCAACTTGATGAGATGATTCCCGAGCGACTTGGTGTTTCACCTGCGATCCTTGATGCCGTCATATTCTGTCACCAAGACGAGTCCCTTTGGCCGCTAAGCGAACCTGCCGCCTTGAAGAAGCGTTTCGATGAGATTTTTGAGGCCATGAAGTACACCAAGGCCATCGACAACCTCAAGGTGCTCAGGAAGAAGCAGGTCGAGCAACTAGGCAAACTCCAGAACGATGAGGCCCACAACAAAGTGAACAAGGACCGAGGTGACCGAGCCGAAAAGAGAATGAACGCGCTGCAAGAGGATATTGAGGGGGCAAGGGCCAAGTGCGAGTCCATCAGCACTGAAATGGACAACACCCAGGAAATAATCCGGGAAATCCGAGAGACAGCCAACAGCCATCTTGCGATCGTTCAAAACCTCAACACAAAGCGCGAGCAACTCGAGTACCGAGAAGAGGCCGTCAAGGAGCTCAAGGCTACGATAGATGAACTTCCAGAGGATGACGCTCGACTAGAAAGCGATCTTGCCCACTATGAAGACCGCATGCAGCATCTTCAAGAAGAAGCTGACCAAAACAAAACCCAGTATAATGAGTTGCAAAACGAGCTGGCGCGTTCACGGAAAGACCTGTCCGCCAAACTCTCAGAGCAAGGCAAGCATCAGTCCGACAAGGACAAGTATGAGCGCCAGATCAAGACCCGCATGGAGATGATCCAGGAAGCTGCCCAGACATATGGCTTCTCGGGTTTTGATGGCGATTTGTCTGATCACCAAGTGAAGTCGTTTAATGATCGACTTCAGAAGCTTCTCAATGAGAAGAAGCGAGATTTGGAACGCCTCCAAAAGGAAAACTCAGTTGAGCTGGATCGAGCTACTGGTGTCATTACTGAGCTGGAGGGTCGCAAGGCCGCCCGAACGCAGGATCGTGTATCAGCTAAACAACGGATGACTGCCATCGAGAAACGCACAGCTGTTCTCCACAACGAGTCGGGTCTGATCGATGTTGATGAGGGTGCCAAGGCTATCCTGGATGGGCAGATGCAAGACCTCGACAGCAGGTTCCAGACATCTCAGAAGGCCTTTGAGAATGCGGACTGGGACAATCAACTATCGACCGAAAATGACAAGCTTCATCAACTTGAGAATGAAAGCGATAAGCTGGGCAGAGAGCTGGTCGAGTGCACTCGTCTCGCCTCGGAGAGAGCTCAACTCGACTACAGGAAAAAGGAACTTGCCGACCGCAAACGCAAGCTTGATACTCTGACAAGCACGTGGAAGGCAAAGCTGGATAAGATCATTGGTAGCGATTGGGAGCCGGAATCGCTTGATAGCAAATTCCAGTTGGTTGTCAAGGATCAGAACAAGGTTGTAATGGACGCTCAGAAGCGACGCGACCAGACACGCCAGAAGCAACAGAAAGTTGAGTTCAGAATGAGAACGGCGAAGGAATCACTTGACAGGAAGTCAAAGGAGGCCACGAGCTGTCAGCAACAGGTCGTCGATGCTCTCCAGACGGTCCGAGACAATGCGATTGTTGAGGACTACACTGAAGAGGTTGAGACAGCAGAGCAGCAGGTTGAAGAGCTGAGGAATGACCTGAGTCTCTTTGACGCCCTTGTGGATTACTACAACAAGTGTAAGCGCATGCTTGACTCGAAGCGAAAGTGCTTGCTCTGTGAGCGCCACTTTGATGACAACCAAGCTGCAAGCTTGGAACGTTTGAGCAAGAAGATTGAGAAGAATCTCGACCCCAAGGGCAAAGTTGACACTGAAAAGGACCTGAAGGAGGCAGTGGCGAGCCTTGAAAAGCTGCGGTCGGTACGATCAGTTTACGACACCTATGAACGGTTGTCAGCTGAGCTCCCGTCCCTTCGCGACGAATGCAAGGCCGTTGAGGTCGAGTTTGACGCTCTGGAGAGGCAGCTCGAAGAGCAAACATCGGTCGTGTCGGCCGAAGAAGAAAAGCAGAAAGACTTGGAAGATATGTCCAAGACTGTCATGAACATTACCCAGACTGTCAAGGATATCGGAGAGTCAGAGACTCAGGTCGATCGCATCATGTCTCAGCAGATGTCGGGCGGTGCAACTCGAAGCCCTGACGAGATCCACGAGCTTCAGGCTGGCGTGTCTGAGCAGATGAGGAGCCTGAAGAACCGCATCTCCAAGTTGACCACGGACCGTCAGCGCATGAAAGATCAGCTGAGCGCACTCGAGCTTGAGAAGAGTGAACTGAGAAACAAGATTAGCCGTGCAGCTGGGCAACTGGACAAGAAGAAGGATCTGCAAAACCAGATTCAGGTTTTGAAGGAGGAACTCTCTCACCAGCGAGAGGTGATTCAACGCGCCGATGAAGAATTGGAGAGCATTGAACCCAGTATCAACGAGGCAAGGTCCGCCCGAGACGACGTACTTCGACGTGGTCGATCAAAGGAGCAAGTCATTGCCGATACCCGTGACAGTGTTGCGAACTCTGTCAGCGAGATGAAGATGATGGACACGGACATCCAAGACTACATCGACCGAGGCGGCCCCTCGAATCTTGCATCTAACCAGCGCGCCATTGCCACGCTTGAAAAGACGATTGCGAACACTGAAAAGGAGGTGACAGACCTCACAGTCCGCACAAACAAACTGAAGCAAGACATTGATAACGGAGACCGGAAGAAGAAGAACATCAGGGATAACCTCAACTACCGCAAGAATCTTCGCACAGTCGAGGTGATCCGCGGGGAGATATCCGAGCTCGAGGACCGCAACGCAGACGAAGACTATGAACGTCTCCAGGCTGAGGCTCGTGCGCACGAGGACCACTACAACCGCCTTCTCGCGGAGCGTGGCTCTGTCATGGGGGCCATGAAGACCAAGGACGAGGAGCTCGGAAGACTGCTTCAGGAGTGGGAGATGGACTACAAAGATGCCAAGAGAAAGTACCGAGAGTCACACATTCGCGTGGAGACTACCAAGGCTGCGATTGAAGATCTCGCGCAGTGCAGTTCGGCCGTTGACAAGGCGGTGATGCAGTTTCACTCGATGAAGATGTCTGAAGTGAACCGCATCGCTGGCGAGTTGTGGCAGAGCACATACCAAGGTACCGACATTGACACAATTCTCATTCGTTCAGACAACGAGTCAAGCACGGGCAAGCGCAACTACAACTACCGACTTTGCATGGTCAAGCAAGATACGGAGATGGACATGCGTGGGCGATGCTCGGCTGGTCAAAAGGTTCTCGCATCCATCATCATCCGTCTGGCGTTGGCCGAGTCGTTCGGCGTCAACTGTGGTCTCATTGCACTGGATGAGCCTACAACCAACCTTGACCGCGACAACATCAAGAGTCTGGCAGAGAGTCTGCACATGATTATCAAAGCTCGCCAGGCCCAGAGCAACTTCCAGCTCATCGTCATCACACACGACGAGGAGTTTTTGCGACATATGAGATGCAGCGATTTCTGCGACAGTTTCTTCCGTGTCAAACGTGACGAGCGACAGAACAGTGTCATTTCCAGAGAGAGTATCACCAAGATTTTCTAATTGGTGGCCGAGTCCATGAGAGGATGGTCGTGTAGGAGGGAAATCTTTTGGCTCCACGAGCGAGGGAAAACGGCGCTGGTATTTCGAGGCTGGGATCGGCGTTGGGCATGTACAATTGACATTTACTAAACATGATGTATTATTACCACACACTGAAGCTGCGGACTTTTAAAGTACAAGCTCATGCGAAGCTCCCCAAAGGAGAACCGGTCAGTCAGGTTGTGATTTTCGGTTGGAGAAGAGATGCGCGTGGCTTGCATTGTCCGACATGTCAGTTGAGACATAACGCATAGGCTGAGGAGGTGTTTGCTGAGGCCTGCCATGTGGGTGGTTGAGACATGGGAAGATCCATGGATCCAACTTATATCAGACATGCTTCCATGTGGGAGAGGGTTGCGGAGTTGATGAGGCCTCAGTTCAAAGTTCGTCTAACTTCCAAAAACGTTCATGGTGACTTTTCGCACACTTGTGGTGGCTGACCAAATACCGTCTCAACTGCCTGAGCGACAAGGTTACCATGTCGACAAACCTCGACAGAGCCATCGGCGAGGTGAGTCATCCCTGTCATGTTAGCCAGATCTACGCGGCAACTGGAAGAGCATCTCGTCGCAAGCTCGGCGATAGGAGGAGGAAGAAGCCAGTACAGAATTATGAATCATGACGCGGCGCGAGTCTCACGATGGGGATGACGTTGAAGAGCCCAAGACCAATTACAGACCAACATAAGACGGAACCCAGGGTGATTCCGAGAGATCTTGGGCGTCGTCCCCGCGACGAAGGATCGGAATTACGAACCGGCAATAAAGTGACCAAGGGTTGGGAGACTCCACACCCTCCTCGGTTGAATCTCAGTTTGGTTGACGCTTTCAAAGGAACTATTGCTCCACCCTCCAAGAGGCCCCCCCCCCAGGCCAAGATTCATTCGCCGAATTACCTAACGAAACGAAATGGCACTTGACGACGACTCGACTCCATTGCGCCCTTGTGAGCCGGGTAGCCGTATTAGGGAGTTGGACCCCGGTCTTCGGAGAAGAGAGCCATACCGAAGTCTCTGCTTTTCCTTACCCCCTTCGACTCGAGCACCAAACAATGCCGACCGGGTTGCTGAATTGGACAAGGTGAAGAGGTTGCGTTGTCGACGATGCAGCAGATATAAGTACTACGGCTGATTCCTCGAAACATTCTGACGACGAGACAATCAAGTAGCGGAGTGCACTGCTCTGCATTATTGATTAGCAATCCATTCCTCGACGCGGTCTACGGCGCCTTCCGAAAAAGGTCTATTGCAACTACATTGACAACTCTCAATTCAATTCATTTACGGAATTTCCGCTTCTTCAGTGTCGTCAGTCTTGTCAACTGTCCTGTCTTGACAATGGCGGCCTCGACAACAAATCCAAACCAGAGGATCAGTTCTGAGACCACGCTCGACGACATTGAGCGAGACGGGGCTGCTCCTTCTCCTTCCAATGCAGAGGCAAGCCCAGGAAATGACAATGTCCCGGCGGCTGCTCCTGCCCCCGAGGCTGGGCGGACCAAGCTCGAAACCTTCCTAATCATGTTTGCGCTCGGACTTGCGCTCTTCCTCGCCGCTTTGGATGTCACCATCATCACAACTGCTGTTCCTACGATATCCAACGAATTCAAGTCTAGTCAGGGCTATATCTGGATAGGAAGCGCTTATCTACTCGGAAATGCTTCTTTCCTACCAACGTGGACGAAACTGTCAGATATCTTTGGGAGGAAGCCCATCATCCTCGTGGCGGCCGTCACCTTCTGGATCGGATCTCTGCTATGCGCTGTGAGCAAAAATATGGCCATGCTCATCGCCTCGCGTGCCATTCAAGGCGTTGGAGGAGGTGGTCTAGTGGTGCTCCCCAACATCGCCATCAGCGACCTCTTCTCCATAAGGAACCGAGGCATGTACTTTGGCATCTTGGGCATGGTATGGGCACTAGCCTCTGCTGTCGGTCCCATCCTCGGCGGCGTCTTTACCAGCCAAGTCAACTGGCGTTGGTGCTTCTATATCAACTTGCCCCTGTCAGCTGTTGCCATTGTCATCCTGATCTTTGTCCTCAAGCTGCACAACCCCCGGACGCCGATGAAGGAGGGTCTTTTGGCTCTCGACTGGCCGGGCAGTTTGCTCATGATCGGCGGCACAATCATGTGGTTGCTAGGAATCGAGCTTGGGGGTGTCAGTTTTCCCTGGAACTCGGCCACCATCATTTGCCTCCTCATCTTTGGCGTCGTGACGTCTGCCATCTTTCTCGTCTATGAGTGGAAGGTTGCCAAGTTCCCCATTATGCCTCCCTATCTCTTCCACAAGCAAAACAGCAACGCGGCCTTTGGGCTGGCCTTTACACATGCCTTTGTCTTCATGTCTGGCAGCTACTGGCTACCGCTATACTTTCAAGGCGTACTCGGGGCATCGTCTTTGCTTTCTGGCGTATATCTACTACCCTTTGTGCTCTCCCTGTCGTTCGTCTCAGCCGCAGCTGGCATCATCATCAAGAAGACGGGTCGCTACAAGATAGTCATCGTCTCGGGCATGTTTGTGACTGTCCTGGGCTTTGGCCTTCTCATCAATCTCGAGCCACGTGCGAACTGGGTCAAGATCATCATCTTCCAGATGGTCGCGGGCTTTGGTATTGGCCCCAACTTCCAGGCGCCCCTGATCGCACTGCAGACAAACATCGAGCCACGAGACATTGCCGCTGCCACCTCAACCTTTTCGCTGATCCGTCAGCTTGGTACCTCGGTGTCGGTTGTTATCGGCGGTGTCATCTTCAACAACGAGATGGAGAGGCAGTATCCCAAGCTCGAGCGGGAGCTGGGCCCCGACCTAGCGAACTTGCTGTCGGGCTCCAACGCGGCGGGTAACGTACAGGTCGTGGGTGAGATGAGCGGTCATGAAGGTCAGGTGGCCAAGACGGCCTACTGGAAGAGCCTGCAGACAATGTACATTGTCTATACCTGCTTTGCTGGTCTGGCCCTCATCATCAGCATGATGATCAAGCAGGTGAACCTCAGCAAGGAGCATCAGGAGCACAAGACGGGTCTCATGTCGCTCAAGGGGAGGAAGGATGCGAAAAATGACAATGAGAAAGCGACTGACAACTAACCTGGCGTTTAACATGCTCTCACAGAGGTTCAACCCATGTAGAGTTGGATTGCATTTTTGGTATACATGTCCTTTTATTCATGTCTCAAGCGTAGCATTTAGATTGTAATGTAATTAAAAGTTGTTTGTTTCATTCAATGTCCTCTTGTGAAGCTGATTTTCCACAGTATGTGATAAGATAGGGTAAACTATCTGGGTAGGTATCAGCAACTTGACTATCTGATATCTATAGGTATCGTTAGGGTATAGTCACCAGTTACTTATCGGTGTCTATTCTTTTCGCTATCTAATCGTAGTCATACGATTAGAAGGAGTAAAGTCTCTTCTTACCATGGTGCAAGGCACGAATCTACCAAAGAGCAAAGCCGAAACATCGCTCACTTGTGAAACTCGGAGAACCATCATCCTTTCAACATTCCTCCTCGAATTTAAATTAACCAAGTCTTTCATAAGCGCAACAAGTCTACCTGCTCAGTCTAGTCTATCACTCAGAACAACTTCTCCCCCTCCTCGAGCGTCCTCTTCCACTCCTCATAATCAAACCCAAGATCCTCAAGCTTCTTGATCTCGTGCCTCTTTTCCCCCACAGCCCGACTCGCAAGCTTAATCTTGGGCACCCTCTCCCTCACCCAGCGCTTGTCTAGTCCCCAGTAGGGAGGTCTCTTGCCCTCTCCGTCGTTCTCGAGTCCCAGCTCGGGAGCCTTGGGGGCTGTCTTGCTCAGCTCGTAGAGACGGTTTATGTAGTCCACGTCCTCTGGGGAGTGCATGAGGTGAATCGCCTTGCCGGAACCCTTCTTTTCATGCTCACTTTCTATCCAGGCTTCCATTTCTGCTGTTGTGGGCGCGCTGAGTCGTCCAGACCAGATACGCGCAGCAACAGCGCTCTGCGCCTCGGCGATGGGAAAAGGTACCACACGTTGGGGAACGCTGAGGAACGCAAGCGTTGGGTCAGCCGTGTAGAGGATCTGCTCCCACAGATGCGCCGCATAGCCTCCATCGGGAACAACGATGGATGGCTCTAACGACTTGAGGAAAGGATACGAGTAGTGGAAGCCCGTGCAAAAGATGACTGCGTCAATGTCGGTCTCTACTTGGTCGTTGGCGAAGCGGACGCCGCGCTTCGAGGGGAGGAACTCGACGATCTGGGGCACGTTGGCGGCCCACGACTCCTTGGTCGGGGGTGTCACTGTGGGCTTCTCCTTTTCAGAGATAAAGATGGGATGTTTGGCGACTGCAGACAGCTGGGCGCTCACATCGACGCCAGAAGCCGAGTTGCCAACAACGATGACTTTCTATAACAAGATCAATAAGCGTTGGCTGTGAAAATGTGCACGATATTGCTTACCTTGTCCTTGTAGTCATTAGGTCGACGGTAGAACTTGGAATGCGAAATAGCACCCGGATAGGCCTTGTCAAACTCGACAAGTCCAGGAATATCGGGGATAAAGGGGTCATTGTAATGACCACTGGCCACCACAACAGCGTCAAACTCATCCTTGGTCGCCTTGTTCGCCTTCAAATCAAGCACCTCAACCTGCCACGGCTTAGACTTATCCGTCCCAGGCTTCTCGATACTCAAAACCTGAGACTGATACGAGATGTGTGGAGTAATATCCTCAGCATACTCCTTGAGATACTGCAGCACAGCGCTATGTCGGGGAAACAGCGATGAGCCTTGGGGAAACTCCTTGTCGGTGTAATTCATGAGTGAATGAGGGATGTTGGTCTCGAGCAAGTCGTAGATGGGCGACATGAACTCGACTTCCCCGCCATCCTTGGGCCAGAGGGCTTGGTCGGGAAGGCTGCTTGGCTTCGTTCTCGGAACAGAGAAGCCATTCTCGCGGGCGAGGGGTGTGTAGTTCCAGACACCACCTGGAGTAGCACGTTGTTCAAAGATGTGAACCTTGGAGAATTTCTTCTCTGCGAGTAGGTATCTGAACGGTTGTTGTCAGCTCTCATGATTTACAATGGGTATCAGTGAGACGTACTTGGCCGCTGCAAGACCACTTGGGCCGGCGCCGATGATGGCGATGCGGCGAACCTGAAGTTTCTCTGCCAGAGGCATTGGAAGTCGAGCCAATACCAAATTCCTTAAATATTCTTCTAAAGGTTAAGGCAAACAGACGCAAAAGATATGCCGTAGATGTGTTGAATACCTGTGATGGAGTGAATGAGTAGGTAGGACCGTAGGACGACTAAAGGCGTGCTTCGGCTGCAAAGCTTCCTAATAAATATCTTAAAACTCAACCGTCAAACTTCATGTCAAGCACCCGCGTGGTCTCATTTAACCATCTGAAATCCACGCCGCCGATGGATCCCGCAAAATAGCCTCATGGGACCCTGTAGTTGTGACTTGGAGCCGGTCCGCTCCATCCTCCATCACGGATGGCCTGATTACCCAATTGGGCCCGATTTCCAATTCTGGCAATCCCGTGTCGGGCTCCGCGCGACGCCGACTCCGGGCATCGGAGCTTGGCCGCCCTGCCCCAGCTTCTCCGGTCCTGGTTGATGTTTTAGATCTGGATATTCCTCCAGAAACAAAATCTCATATCTCTGACCTTGTCGTATTCCCATATGCATGAATCCTCACCATTGACAAAGCTAACGGGTTTCGCGGCTCGGTCAACTGCCATTAGTGTCGTAGCGGCTCAAAGTCTGATAACGTCCCCTCTTGATCCCAGGGCTATCACCTCGTGCAAGCACGCAATCTGGTCCACCTTCGTCAACAACGGTCAGGATGGCGCATGCGGCTCCGTGTCGAACAGGAACCGTTGTCAAATGAGATGCTTGCCTTTTTTCTCCTCTTGTGTACTCTCCTGAATGTTGGCAGGTTCCAGCTTCACTACATCTGCCGTCGTCCATCTGTATGGCAATCCATTCACTCTCAACTCAGTCGGCTCTCTTTTGCCTCACCAGGGCCAGTTGATTCCAAGGCATGACGCTCGCAAGAGCCCCGGTTTCCCGAAATGGCATCTGATATGAAGGCTTCGATCCACCGCTTCCGCCTCCGCAGGGTGTCTCCATCCCCGAGAAATGCCGGTCGGGCCCGGTCCGCTTCACCTCCAGTGTCTCCTGATAAGCGGCTGCAGGATGCACCCCAGCGAGATGCGCAACCTCGCCGACAGGATGGACAGCAGCAGCCGAGACAGCCTCCGTCAACGGCTCGCGGCTCGGGAGGGAGACCCATAGCTCCGGCCTGTGATCGCTGTCGCAGTTTCAAGAAGAAGTGCAGTCGAACCTATCCCGTGTGTTCTCTCTGCGCCAGCGCCGGTCAGAGATGTTCTTACACTAGCCCTATTGCCAACGCGGAGGCCCAGGCCCACCAGCTTCGCTCGCGTGTGCAATGGCTTAGCCGCTATATCGACGAGAACCTGCTCCCGCCAGGTCAGCAGGGTGGGATAGATGCCATCGAAACTGGAGTCGATCTAGGCCCCGTACTGAGCGGTGGGCAACGGAACGGCGTGGGGCCTTCCACAAACTCGGGTGCAGCATCATCGCCCCTTTCGAGGGCTCCGGGTCCGGCGACCCCTCCGTTGGATACCGCCGGACCTCTCCCGTTGATCCGTGGGCGTGACCACCCCATGACCGGGCAGCAGAGCAGTGACGTGCGAATAGAGGACAGAGATCCGGGGACCGTGAGAACCACGAGCAGTCATCTCTCTTACCAAGCCTCGAGTGATGGCTCTATCACCAGACGGCGGCTGATCGCTCGGCAAGCCCTTCCTCCCGATATTGCGCCAAGTCGTTTCGTCGATGCCTTCTTTCGTCATGTTAACCGAGCATATCCTTTTGTGGATCAAGTCAAGATACGCCGTGACCTTGAGGCCCTAGGAGACGCCTCTCCCGCGGACCAAGATCCTCCCATGACTTTGCTGTACCTTGTCATGGCCATTGGATGTACATCTCTAGTACGAGCAGGGCAGATACCGAGCGACACGGCCAAGCGATTTGATGTAGTCTATCCAGACATCATCCAGGAGTGTCTTTGCAATGAAGGCGTCGAGTCGGTACAGATCCTCGTCCTCTTGGGACTATACTCCCTTTTCGATCCCACAGCGACCTCCGCATACTTTATCGTCGGCATCGCTGCTCGTCAGGCTATGGTCATTGGGTTGACGAGGCCAGACGACCAACCTCGTACACCGGCCGAGACGGAGCTCAGGCATCGACTATACTGGAGCATATTCGTCCTGGATCGCATGATGGCTGCATCTCAAGGCCTCCCAGTGGCATTAACGGATGAACACTCCAGCGTTCCACTCCCAGGACTCACGGTTGAAGAGTTTGCGAGTACGGATAGAGCCGTGTATGCTCGAAACCTGCAGACAAGCCGACATGTCATACAACTTCGGCAACTAGAGTATCGGATTCTTCACGCGGTACATCTGCAACGAACCGCAGAAACTGCAGGTATCTCATCTTTAGATCGGCGCGCAGTGCTCAGCAGCTTGAGGTCAGAGATTGAGGACTGGTACAGCAACGGGTGCCTTATGTCGCCAATGGAGGCCGACAACCTACCTATCCACAGCAGTATCACCTGGCTAAGTGCACAGTATTATCACTTACTTGTTCTCCTTTACTTCCCCAACCACTTCAACAGTGCGGCGGCGGCGGTGCCTCGGTCAGAGCTGCTCGAGTTTGCTCGAAAGCAGCTCCAGGCCAACTCAGCTCTCCTGCAGCAACGACAGCTGCCTCTGAACCGGGTGTCACTATGCAGGTTGCTACCCGTGTGTCTGGTGTTGATGCACGACTTTGTGGCATCATGCGGCTCAAACGATTGGGGAGCGCAAGGGCCGGCACCGTTCGCAGCCAGGGACGAAGTAGCCGTCCTAATCACTATCCTAGAAGCATTCCCGAAAGGATGGACGGTAGCACATGAGGCAGCTCGCATAATCCAGCAGTTTGCGGGGGTAATGACAGGACACGGAAGCATGGCGACTGCGTACTTTGGTACACAAACAGTATTCCCGGCGACGGGCAAGGAGAGCGTCGAAGAGCTGGTGAGGCCTTGCATCACCAGCTTCACGGGACTGTTGCACCAGTTTCTGGGAAAGGCGACATGCTTCCAGTCAATCGAGTATGCTCCTGAGACGAAGGAGGTTGAAAAGATTGGGCAAGTTGGAGTCGCGGCGCAGCAGACCACGACGAATTCGCTGTGGTTGAATGGAACCGATTCAAACGCCGGGGGCGTGAACGAGGAGGCTGTGCTCGGGTATGGATGGGGTTCCTGGGATCTCGATTTCCTTTGAGCCTTGACTCTGTTGGGATTAGTTGATGTTGATGTTAATGTGAGGTTGGGATTTATAGATGGATATATGGCGTTTGCGGAAGAGGGGTGGTTTTTAATAATGTGCAGGTTGGTCAATGGAGGCAGGTATGATCACGCATCTACAACACCTGCCCAATTCCAGATACCACCAACACCACATGAGGGAAGGCACGATCAATTCCATATCTAGCGATTAATTAAAGACAAGGTTAACTAACAGCAACGCGGGTGTCCCGCCGCCACGTCTTGGACCGTTGTTGATCACGATCGCGCGTTGATACATTCCAACGGGTGAGACAAACTTCTGCATCGAGCAAGGGATCCATCGAATAGCTGGAGCAAAGCTAAAATCGAGGCTCTGCTACCGGGGCTGCTCTCCCGCATCTGCACTCGGTTGAAAGGGGAAGTGTGCATCAAACAAGGCTAGAATGATACATGTCACAGCATCAAGATGCATCGCTTCAAGTTGCAAAGCCCCAACCCAAGTGACAGTTCAGTACCTGATCTGACATCCATCCACTCTCTGGCACTGACGCGGTGACAGTCTGACGGGCAGGCCGGGATTGAAGATGACGACAACAACAACGAGAAGCGGGTATTGGCATAGGACGGTAAATGGACATTTACGAGCTGACGTGCATCCGACTGGGGACTCTGTCAATGGCTCGAATTATTTATGGCATACGTGGGTGGATCGCGATAGACGATTACTACAACGTCTCATATCAGGGACACGAGGGCGAGTTGTCCCGAGCAGGGCAGCTTCAGCCAACAGGGCAACCTTGATACAGTAAGCGGCTGCATTACTGTATGACCCCAGGCCCTGGAATCAAAGCCCGCGGAATTAAGGGATGCTTTCCATCACAATCCCGAGTGTGAACTGGCAATCATGAAAATAGTGCACTACACTGCACTGCAGATCACGAGTGGGCAGCTGCCCAGGCTTCGACACACTCACCAACTTAATTGCACTTTCGATTACCTTTTATCTACCCGTGCATCGAGCCCGTTGACGTGGTTGGAATGAGGTGGCTGGCGGTTGACTGTGATAGGGCTGCATGTGATGGATGTGAAAGAAGCGGTAAATGATAAATCAACCCAGAGGAGAGCTCAACACCAGATGAACTCCCAGCCATCACTTGGTTCTCGTCTGCTGTTTTTAGCACCTCGCTGTATGCACTGCACAACAACCGAGGGGGGCAGCGTGACGGCATCTTGAGCAGAGGTGGCTGTGACTGGGCTGAGTCCGACGGACATTGCATCCAAGCCCCGTGCTTTGTAGCCACTGTTAGTGAGATCATGTCAGGCTGACACTCCACACCCATCTGCATGCCGGGGACGTTCTCCTGGGGTCGGATGCACTAACAGATTGACCGCATCACTTGCACTGCCTCACAATTGCTCCCCAGGACTGGGCATTCTCGCGGGCGATCGCCATAGCCCTCTGCAATCTCGAAGCCCGGCAACGGGGACTCGAATGACGATATGCAAGGTTGTCATTAATTAAGTTGTCCTACAAGGCGTCTAGCACTACCTAATGCAAGCACATATAGCTCTAGATGGCACCGCCCATGGTGGCCGGCAGTTCCCATGCCATGCTTTGCTCTCATGGGATGGGATCCCTCCAAGGCTGATCATGCACACACACAGTGATTAGTAGCCCTCCGCCAAGTCTAGAGGCTAGAGACGCAGCATCCCGCGTCTACGGTGCCGTCCCCGTCAGTCAGCCCAACGCCTTGCTACCGGGTCGGTTCCATTCTATTCGGTGTGTCTAGGCTAGGACTCAGTCAGGACATGAGCATGGTCGCCGGCTGCGTCATAAATGCCGAGACGGCCCCAGTAGTGTGTGTTCACCGAGCAGTCTCTTACTCTCTCATTCACTTGCCGGTCACGGTGCGAGATACGAAAACAGTGCATCCTCAGCCGACCGAGAAATATCAACAAGTCTGAGACAGATTGCACTCGGCACCCAGTCCATCCAAAGTAGGAATCCACTGGGGCTTGCGAATTTAGCGGCCCAAACCCACTGGACTGGCAGACGCTGCACCCACCGCCGAGTCCCGCCCGTCCCCCAGGAAGAAAAAAAAACGCCTGGACCCCTGCCACCCCTTGCCCTGCCACCCCTGTCCGCCCATCCACTCCATCCTCCCATTTCTGGGCTTCCCACCCACTGATCCTGGGCGCGCTCTCTTTAACTTGGCCAGGCCTGGCCTGTTTCAAGCGGCCTCGAACTGGACCTTGCTCTCTGACATCCATTTCTAACGCCTCTCGCCTCTTCTTCTCATTTCTCCCCCATCAATCTCAAATCTCATCCCATCCATCCTCCCCTGGCCGTTTGCGTCGAACAAATCGACTCATCAGCAACAACCAAAAACCTCGCAATTGCGTCGCCGTCTCTCGTTTCTCGTCATCTACCGTCTTGCGACCTTGCTTTTTCCTTGTTTAATTATCGCCCAGGAAGGGGCTTTATTTACCAACCGCTCCTCCCCGCGTCGGCGCCCGCGTGAGCTTCCATCACAGACCCTGACCAACGACCGACCGAATCCACGCGTCCTCGAGTTTTCTTCATCCATCGACATCGTCGTCTATCGACAATCGAACGACCTTGACGATCATCGTCATCTTCTTTTCGACTTGATTCCCGTGACTCCCGGTTGGAGTCGATCATATGCACACCGTGGCTACCCGACTAGAGTCTCGCAGGTCGCTCCTCGGCCCTGAGCACGGTTATGGCTATGGAGGTCATTACAACCAGCCCTACAGCGACGGAGAGCCTGCTCCTCAGCCTATTCCTCAACCCGCAGCCTTCACTCAACCCAACTTTGCCGACACCGCTGGCGTCGATCCTGCAGTGAACCAAGGCTACGCTTATCGAGAAGGCTTCTCTCCATCTGTTCCAGCCACGAGCACACTAAACGGCAAGACGGGCTTCCTCACGAGCCGATGGCCCGCCTGCTTCATGACAGTTTCTCTTCTCCAGGCCGTTTTGTGTATCTGCTTTGAGGCGTAAGTCTTGCTCGCAACCCCTCACGTGTCAGCTTCCCAGAGCCTCATCACTAACGCTTACTGCAGCTACATCTTTGGCAAGTTCCAGTTCAATCTCGGCCCTCATATCAACCTGCCCAAGGTCCAGTCCCAGTACAAGACTATTCCTACTTTCCTAACCCTCTTCATTTTCGGTTTCCTCTATACTCTGGTTGTCGTTTGGGATGCCCTGCGCCAGAAGAACACTATCCAGGTTATCGGAGTCTGCTTCTCCAACCTGGCTCTCATGGTCTACACTGCCATTCAGGTCGACCAGATTAAGGAGGCTTTCGACATCCTTGGGGCGCACAACGCCCTCGAGAAGAACGTCACTGCTGCTGACCTTTGGGGTGATGTCAAGCCTTACCTGGTTGCCATTCCCGCCATTATCGCCTTGGCGACTGTTGGCATGATCTTCATCTCCTGGAAGATCTACCAGGAGTACGCATGGGACATTCTCAAGAACATTGGCGCTGATTACCGCATGAAGAAGCGCTTCCTCCACTACCAGGTACGTTCCCTTGAAACCTCAGAATATCACGTCTTCAAGTTCAATGTCTAACGCGACCCAGATTTACATTGCTCTGCTCAAGTTCGATTTCTTCTTCTTCCTCGGTTTCATCGTTCAGTTTGTCGTCGTTGTCGCAGAGAAGAACGATCCCGAGTTCGCCTTGACCATTGTCACCATTCCTATCACCATCGCCATCCTTCTCGCCGCCGCCTACTTCACCCGCAAGGAGAACAAGCCTGGCATGGTGTGTGTCATCATTCTCTATCTTGGTGGTCTCAGTTACTTCCTCTTCAAGCTGGTCCGAATCTACCAGCCCGGACACAAGGAAGCCTACGAGGCTGTCCGCCGATCACTTACCGCTTTCGCTGTCATCACTATTCTCCTTATTCTTCTCACAATCGCCAATGCTATTGTATGCATGTGCAACTTTGGAAAGGGCCTCAAGCCTCACCTTCAGTCCCTGTCTCGAAAGCGCAAGGTTGAGGAGAAGCCCGACATCAACTCGATCAACATGCAGGACGTCAAGCCCCAGGCGCCCAGCCGAATGACGATTGATTAATCGGCGCATCAACGAGCCATGGTCCCCGAGGCAACAAAAGCTCCGAGGGACCATTGTAAAAAGACACGAATTTACGAAAGGATACTAAAATTTTCCCTTATATGGCACCGGTCAGACAGGGCAGGCTCGGAACGGACGGTAGCCAAATGAGAAAGGCGTGAACAGAAGGCGAAGAGATGATATCCCCGGGTTGTGTCTGCAGTTTCCTTTAATCCTCTTATGTTTTTTTTTTCTTGGTTTTAATTTTTCCTATGTCAAGACCCAAACATATTAGGCGTTGAACAAATCTTCATTCCTTTGAATGAGTGATCTGGGAGTTTTTGTTTGTCACTTTGAATAGTTGAATCGTGGAGAATATCCACGATGGGGTAGGTGGGAGTGGTGAATCACGGAACGTGGAGATAACCAGAGCGACCTAGTAGAAAACCTTGCACTTGGTTGTTTAGGATAGTGAATACATACCAAGTAGTTGAATCACGAAGTTGTGAAACTCGCGGCTCCTTTGCAGTTCCACATGATGTTTGATGGTTTCAGCATGGTGAAACGTCAGATGTCGTAACTATTCAACACAGCTCCCACATTCCGTGTTTCACAAGTTGATGTGGTATTGAAACTATAACTTAGGTAGTCTACTAAGCAGTCGGCGGCATATCCCAACATTCGCTTCGCAACACTATAAACATGAGTGACCAGGGGCTAAGGGGTGGTCCGTTGCGCAAACCCATAAATCCATCAACGCCAAGTTCGCCGGAATGCCCAGAGTAGTGAATAACCATGTGCCAAACAATTAATGACAAAGCTATGCAGATGAGTAGGTATCAAAGAGAAGGGTCACTTGTTAGAGCCTGATCTTAACGGCGTCCTTAAGGTGACCTTCAGTCGGGCA